AGCAGGAAGCTGGTGCTGCAGTTCAGCACGTCGTGCTCCATCCTGCAGGGTCAGGCCATTGTTGTTTGCCTTGCTCTGTTTTTCTTAGTACGTATTTTAAACCCCGTTTTTTAGTGTGTTGTTAATTGCACATTTCCCACTCAGTCTTTTTTGCTAATTCTAGCAAAAAGTCCCTTTCCTTGCTAGGGGTCAGAATGAGAAATTAAGAGAACAAGGCTGGGAGGAGGGTGGAGGGTATTGGCTTGAGTACTGGCCACAGGAGCAGTCCCTGCTTGCTGGTGGTCAGGCACCAGAGGCTGCAGAGCCTTGTTCTTGCACTGCAGGGGTTCTAGCTGCCTCTTCTAGCTGTTGTGCACTCCCATTAGCTCTCCATTTCATCTCTGTCTCCAGTCTCCACCCTTTACCTGGCTGCCTCTGGGTCACTGTGGCATCGAAAGCTGCCTTTGGACAACCAGAGTCATCCTTTGGTTTTGGATTTGTCCACCTGATCTTGACTTTGCTGATCAGGTACATGGCTCCATCCTCTTGTGACAAGTTTCCTAATGGAGCAGAGAGGGTTTGGCTGCAGAAGCTCCCCAAGCCTCTACGTAGTTGGTCAGGTTTAACTGAAGCAATAGAGACAGTTACTGTACTTGGTAATTTTTCTCTTAACTAACAGTAAAGATTTCCTGAGCCCTGACTGTACAGGTAATTTTTTTTTGCCTTCCTCAGGGTCATGCTGTCAGGTGCCACGTTTATTGTGGCGTTGCTGTGTGTTTTTTACCAGGCAGCCTGCCAGAGAGCAGCAGAGCCTGCTCTTTCCAGCTGGGATCTTGTAGATCTCTACAGAGGAGACTTCCACATGGAGTCAGTTATGGGAGACTGCGCTGGTTTTGATCCAGGATACCTCCCTGTGTGGATGTCTGTACTCTGCTCAGGGCAGAGTGGTGTTGGTTGTACCAGTGTGATGTTCCTGTCCCCTGGTGTCAGCTCTGCCTGGGGCTGGGGGTTCCTGTCTGCAAAGGGCAGTGAGTGTCCCGCTGCCTCAGCTGCTGCAGGTCGTGTCCATAGGACAGAACCTTCACTTGTGAGTCAGCCGGGGCCGAGAGCTGGGTTGGCTGCAGTGAGGGTACGTGCCCTGTGTTCCTGCCTGTGGTATAGAGTGGGAATGTCCAGCAAAAAAACATCTTGCAGGCAGCAGAGAGCAGTCAGCAGCAATTTCTAAATTGTTCCAGCTAAATCTTCCAGAGCCCATCTCTGAGCTCTCAAGGTTCAGCTCCTGCATCTCACCAGTGATAAGCGCTGGGTTGTGAGGGGGAATGGTGGAGGGAAGAAGCCCACAGGTTCACTTCAAAACTTGTCTGCTTTTTTTCCCTCTAAAAACCATTTGGGAGCAGGAGACTTCTTTGTCACTTCATTTAAAATTGCTTTTGTTTAAGGTTGTCCAGAAGAAGAAGCAGCATCAAGCCAGTGTCTTCCACGTCAAGTTCCCAAAGGCGCCACAGCAAAGAGCATCTCCAGCCCCGTGGCTGTCAGGGGGAGGAGGTGTCCGTGCCCAACTGTGCGGCGAGGTCTCAAGCCCAGCTCCCAGCACTGACTGGGAAACTGCCGGCAGAAGCACAGGGTCCTGCGGCCAAGGTGGATTCTGGGGGTGCCCGTGGCAGTGACCCAGCCTGCGAGGCTGTTACTGGGGAGCAGCTGCCCCGGGGGGATGCAACCACTGGGCTGCATGGTGCGTCTTCTGTCGCTGCGATCCCTGATGGCCAGACAGCACAGGAGGGGGAGGAGGCCCCTGAAAGAAGAGTGAGTACCTCCACTCCCAAGGCTGCTGGAAATGGAGATCCTGCCATGCTGCAAGGAGCCTGGGCTCCTCAGGGCCTCGAAAAGGTGCTTTTCCAGGACTCTGACAGCCAGATGACTCCAGTGAGATCCAAAACACGCCGTTGCTCTGGGCGCCGAAGCTTTGTGGGTGGCCTCCACAAGAGCCGTAGGTCCTCCCTGGCAGAAAAATATTCCCTGTCCAGCAAAAGAGAGAGCATGATCCGGAGGTCCATCAGCAGGGCCATTTCAAAGAAGGCAGCAGCACGAGAATCATCCTCTGCCTCCAGCAGAGTGAGCTGTAAGTTCCTTTCTGTTGCTGAGTGCACTCATTTGGCAAAATCCGCTTCTCGGCTTTGGTGTGGGGAGCTGCTCATTCATATTAACTTGGCTCCTCTTAGTCTCTTTGTTGACAGGCCCTGTGGCTCCCACTTATTTGGGGTGCAATCTTCAGGTCCTCATCTGTTGTCAGACCAAGACTCAGGCCGTGTTTTGCTGCAGCAGGTGAAGGAAGCATCTGCTGGGGCACAGGCACAGGGACTGGAGGTTGGGTTACGCAGGTTTTTTGATGGGGAAAAACAAGAGTGAAAGGGAAATCGCAGCCTGGCTGGTTCCAGCCACGTGTGTGGTTTGGCCGATCAGAAGGGACTGTACCCTTCCCTGGGGAGGGGCTTAATTTGAGTGTCTTCTGCCAGCTCTCCAAAAATCTATAGGAACTGAATGTCTCCACCCCCTGTAATTTAAAATGCTTTTTGGGTGAAGATAGAGGAGTGGATGGACTGAGAACCAAATAGCAGAGTCATAGATTCAGGAATCCAGACTATTCCTGGTAGCACTAAACTCCTCATACCCTCTGTTCCCACTGCTTGTGGGAAGGTTTTGCTCTTTGAACTTTCTAAAATCATTGCTTCTGAAGTCAGATTGGCTTCTAATAAAGCACCAGAGCCTTTGGTATTTAGTTTTGTCAGTTTGAGTCACACTGTATCTAGGCATTTGTGATAACACTTTCAGCTAAGTGGTGTTATGGGGCGAATGAAATCAGCCTAAATCCACCCAATCTCGGCATAAAACTGTGCAGGGAGGCAGGAGCTGAAGTCGATTGACTGGGAAATGTTCTCTCTGACACAGGCAAGAGCATGCTTGTGCAGCTGGAGCAGTCTGCAGGCAGAGGAGCTGCTGCCTTCCCAGCCTACACCAGTTTGTCAGTGACACTTGAGGGAGGTGGTGGTACTGGTGTGGAAAGCTGAGCCGAGCTGAGCAGTCGGCGTGTTCCTGGGAGGAGAGTGTGCAGAGACCTGGGCTCTGCCACGCACACGCTGCTGCTCTGGGGAAGCTGCAGAATGAAATCCCCAAGCTAGCTTATGGGGTTTTTTTCCTCCTCCAGGTCAAAGCTCCTTGGAGGTTTTTGTGGAAGAAGATGTGACCAGCAGCATGAGGTGAGGCTACCACATAAAGCAGGAAGAGACCACAGCAAACCCTGCAAGGGTTAGATATAGGACTGGTTTTGTAACAGACTGGTTTGGGTGACGTTGTCACCTGGGGCTGGTTGGTATTTCAGAGTTTGTGCTGTTCACTTCCTTTTCAGGTGGCTGTTCAGAGCACAGTAGGTTAGCCAACACTAACTGGTTGTGTTGGGAGGGGTCCAGCCTTTGCTGGAGGGGCTGCCAGCAGTTGCTCTGCCTGGTGTTGACTGCCATCATGTGAGTTATATCCTGGGTTTCCTGGCTGCAAGCAGCCTCCAAATGCCTGCTGGTGCTGGAGGTCAGTCAGCTGGGCTCTGACTTGAAAGGAGCTTCTTAAGGTTCACAGAGGTTCCTTTTTACCTGCTCTGTGGAAGTTCTGCAGAAGGGGACAGAGCTCGTTGATGTGTTGTTCAGTAATGCTCCATCAGAACTTCCAGCTCCACCTTGGTGTGGTCTGGCTGAAACAGGCTTGTGCCTCTAGATGTACTTTGGTCTATCTGCACTTTCCTTGGGGCCCCATGTGCTGCCTCCGTCATACTTTTATCACCTGTAATTCACCCTTCAGAGAGCTGCAATAATTAAAATAGCTCTTCTTTTACAGACCTGGACTGGAGCTGAATCCCCCAGGTGAAAAGGTACGTTCCGAGGCGCTACCTACAAACTGTCTGTCTGGACATCTTCGTGGCAGAGTTGATACTTTTTGCTGAGCATTGCCACTGGACGCAGGGAACGTGGACAAGGATCACTGCCACGTCCCTTCGGACTCGGCGAAGGCGCTGTGGAGTTGGACAGCGCTGCCCTGCTCACGCTTAGGCAGAGTTCAGCTGGTTGACTCTCTGGCTCCTGGTGGGCAGAGACATTTTGTGCCTCTTCAAGATGGAGTGTCTGGAGGTGCTTGGCCAGGTTCCCAGGAGGCAGCAAGCTTTTGCCTGTCAGTTGAGCCTGGTAATTTGCTGTGTGTATTCTTAGTCCATCTGGTTTCAGCTACAAAAATCAGGAGGGCAGTTCGAGTGAATGCGCTTTCCTTGGCCGCTGAGGCTGTGAACACCACAGGCTAGTGTCAGCCTGTGGTGCTAGCCCAGCAAAGAAACATCCCCTCCCCTCAGCTGGCAGAAACATCTTGTACGGTTGTGCTGTGAACTAGCTGAGGTGCCAGCTAGCCCAGCACGGAGAGGGGAGGGCCCTGCTCCAGAA